GCCATACCCACAGAGAGAGGCCTCATTGGCTATGACCTGATTGACAGACTTGATTAACAAACTAGACTCTACCCCTGCACTCTTAATCCTCTCCCGTCCCGAATTGACACCAGAAGATGTAACTACCACACTGCCACAGTTCCTTTTTACATGATAAAGCAACTTAAACAACAAAAGGACCCCCAGTAGTTAATAATAAGATGATTCTTGTCCCCCATGACCATATACGTGAAGAGTTTATCCCAATAAATGAAAATCATGTAATGGCTTTCTGTTTTTCAGTAACATTTACTTACGTTCAGTTTATTGCTATAGTTTAAGGAAGAAAAGCAAGATATTTTACCTAATGTTGTCCACTCTTTTCCCCAACCGTCCATCTACCTGTCTACCCATCTATCCATGATTTATTTATTGGAGGTTTATTATGTTACAGGGAGAAGGGTGGAGCTTTTTATTCCTGTAAAGAAGGGCAAATGTGGGAAAGGGATTTTAAAAAATGAAAGGTTTAGGGAATTGGAACCTTCATCAATTGGAAATGACATTAAGCTAATCAACTGAATTTTTTTAAATGGGATGCATATATTAAAAAAAGAAACAAAGAGCCTTCCTCATAAAAAGCATTACTATAATTAGGGTTGTTATCTACCCAAAATCCCAAACTGGAACCTCTAAAGAACAGCCATGTCTGAATATTGGTGCCTTTCCAGTTCTGCCAATGGACACATTATAGCTTAACTGTGACATTTCTACTTTTGTAATCATCAGGCAACAGGGAAAAAAGTCTACAAATTGGAGAGCATGTCTTTTTCTAGCTATTCTTTTCTAATTCAGTTGGCTACTGCCAGTTACTTGGGCATAAAAAGAAATCCAAAACATTATTATATTCACTATTCTGTATGCCACTAGCCAGCACAAATTACAGATCCACATTTGTGGATATCCAAGTAGCAAGCATTTGTTTAATGAAAGACATCGACATTGGTAATACTGAGCGAGGTATTAATCCTCCAATGAAAGGTAGTCATATAATCAAACCTGTTTTTTAATCAATTTTCTTTCATTTCCTTTTCCCATTACCAGAGATAATAAAAATAATAGTAAAACATAAGTGAAAACGGACCGAAAATGAACTCGGGAAATGTTTCCCAGCACAGGTTGCAGGCTCTGATTGTCTCAGCCAAGACTGACAGACTCAAATGCCCTAGTTCCCATGGCAATGCATGCTTTCCTGAAGCAGATCCACCAAGCTCCAGTTTTGCCGGAGGAGAGCATGATGCTTGGTAAAGAAGAGGGTCAGTGAAAAATAGGAACAGCTCCACGAGACGGGTGGCACAGTGGCTCCGGCCATGGGCTCCAACAGCACAATCGCGAGGACAGCACAGCGCAGGGCAAGGTGTCCTTCTGAGCTGAAATAATGCCATCTAGGGTCACTGTGAGTCAGCTGAGACACGATGGCGGTGCGTTGATTGGTTTGTTGTTTTGAACAACAACAAAATAAAACTTACGAGCGCTAACCTGGCATTGCTAACTCTGATTCCATACTTTCATACAATTTGGCGTTGCATAACTGGTGTTTCCAATTGATTTTTTTTTTCTAAATGGAGCAAAAACATTGACCAGCATATTCAGGTCTCTGTCTTCTCTTGATCGTCATATTTCTCATTGTAACAACCTGGCATTTTGTTTCTGTATATTAGTTTGCTTAGTGTAGATCACATACTAATTATTCAGTAATAGTACACTGAAAGCATTCAGTTTTCTAAACCTGAGAACCAAGGTAATGTCAGCCCTGCTTGAGAAATCAAATCACCACAGTCACTTTTCATAAAAGTATCACATCTCAACTTTAGGAACACAGGTCCCTAGAAAAAGTGGTGAGCCAAAGGTAAAACCTGGGTTCTAATCTCATGACATCACTTATTACCTGAATGATCCCGGGCAGATAGAACTTAATACCCTTTCCTAAAAAGAACACGTGGCTTCGAGGATTCCTTCCACCGATCTCACAGGTCATTGTTAGCAAACTCATCAAATGCACAATGAATAAGAAAGGCTTTGAAAACTACAAAGCACTAAAGATATAATATATTATCATTGCTTTATGGTCCTGCAAACAACCCATGCCAAATAGTCCATTAGTGAAAAGATCATAATCATCTGCCCAGATATGACAACAACAGTCAATATGACAATAAAGAAATGCTACATTGTACCCTCTATGGTGCTTCTCATCCTGACAATATCTTCCTTTCAGAACAGGAGAAATACAATTTGAATTTCTTCCTCACTAACAGAACTCTCCCTATTTTCAAAAGCTTCCAAAATATGTCCAGCTCAAATTTCAGTCATTTCTGGTATATGGCTATATAAAAAAATAAAATGAAGTTAAAAGAGTTTCTAATTAGATATACATATAATTTTAAATAACACCAGAATCATTTCAAAATAAGAATTGGCATTAAGTTTATACACACACACATTTTTTAAAAAAAGAAAAGAAAATGAAATGGGCAGTTCCATTCTTCGGGTTACCTGAAAGAACCCTGGTGGGACCAGGTTTAAGCACTTGGGGCTAACCCACAAGTTTGAAGCTAGAGGTCACCCAGTGGCTCCACAGGAGAAAGGCCGGGGCAGCTCCTGCTCTAAAGCCCACCACCTAGAAAGCCCTCCGGGGCAGTTATACTTGTCTTGTGCAGTCACTCAGAGTCAAAATCCACAGCCTCCACCAGCACCCCTTAATCACCAGAGAAGACCGCAGCCTCCTTACTCTTCTGGTGAAGTGGACATGACTATTGAATTGGCAGATCTTATGATTTCTCAATTCTTATCTGATTTACAGGAATCTTACCCAAAACATATTCAGTACTGTGGACTTATTTTTCTTCATCTGGGGAATAAAGAAGACAGGCCTTTCTTTTTTAGTTTGTTTCAGGTGCGCTTCCTTGACAACCCCACATCAGAGTCCCAGGCTGAATTACTTCCAAACTGAAAGATTGCTAAGGGCTGCAATCATGTCTGCCTTCCCGCGCCTCCTCCTAGCCCCCCAAGCCATTAACCCCATAATTGGCACATAGCATAGGTATTCAAAAACTATTGATTCGATAAATTATGGGAGGCGGGAAAAAAAGGTGTAATAGTAGGGTAGTAACTAGACCGATTTAAAGCCTGATATCCCTTGGTATTAGCCTCAAATTTGGTGGTTAAAACCCATAATGTGTGCAACACAATTCTGGTTATGTGAAAGGCTTATGAAAGTTAGCCCAGCCAAACTTGCAGAAATTAGAGTATCAGGCAGACTGGGTTACTTAAATTACATGTAAGTTTCTGCGAGTATAAATGTATTCATTTATAAGATTAGGGTACTTAATCAGAAACGTTTTGTGGGTCCCTCCTACGTCTGAAGTGCCATGGCCAGCTTGTGGCACACTGTCACGTAAGACCCGTGCACTCCTGAACGCGTTGGTGCTTGAAGAGGCCGAGAACACAGTAAAACACGAGAGGCAAGTGAGATGTGACTTTGAATTATAAATATTTAACAGTTTTTAAAAACAAGAACTTGGTTTTGTTTTTAATTAATAAGAAACTGGTCTGTTTTTCAGTTGGATCCTACCCTCTGAATAGATGTATCTGTCAGTGAGGCACCCACTTAGCTTTCAGTCCATCCAAAATTCCGGTATGCATGTCAATACAGAAGAGAAATGAAAGGCAGATGTTTGGGTACCCCCACGATTTCCAGTAGGCAAACAAAGCCCTGGATTGAAGAGCCCACCTTGGCTCCAGGTGGGCTGCACCCTTGAGGGGAGAACTCACCGGTAGTCTGACTTCATGGGGTATAGGCCCAGCCCAACTATTATATGGTCTTTTAAAACATAGCACCTCTCACACAGGCAACTTGGTTTTGGGATTGTTTATTTTTCTGTGACAAGGACATAAGTATCCACCTGAAAGAAAGGATAGCTAAGTGTCTGTTTTACTGATGTAGTCACGTTTATTGTTTTTTGTTGTTGCTGCTATTTCCCATTGTTACTGTCTAATAGAATGTGTTGATTTTCAGGGAAAAATAAAACAGTCAAATGCTAATGTGACTTTTTGTTAAGGATGACATGACAGGATGCAGGTGCCTCGACAATAAGTTACACTCAGTATTTTCCAAATACTTCAAAACTCACAATCACTGCATACATAGGAGATGAGAGATGTACCGAGACCAGGGGAAATACGGCTGAATATCCCTATTTCTGATGTATTCAGCAAGCATTGTATCACGGTGTTTCCAAACACGCTCTCCTCGAGACGAGGAAGGAGCTCTGGTGGCTCCCTGGTGAAGAGCTTGGCTGGAGACCAGGAACCATTGGCAGTTCCAATCCAGTGGACACTGTGGGAGAGAGATGTTGCCGTCCGCTATTGTGATGACAGCTTTGGACACTCTTAGGAGGCAATGCCATCCTCTCCTTTGAGGCGCTTGGACTTGGAATTGATTCAACAACAATAGGTTTCATTGATTCAACAACAATTGGTTTAAGACTTGAGGAACCCCAGACAAACTCAACTGATCAGAACCTACCAATATTATTTATGAACAGCCTTTTAAAAAATCCTAAGAGTGGGGGCAAAGCTATCTTCAATTAAAAATTGGTTTTTTCTTTTTCTCTATAACTGTCAAAGAGAAGAAGAATGCAACACCCCCAATTAAAATGTTGACATGAGGTCTGAAATATGAGAAAAATTCTGAAACCATATACATTATATTGAATAAGACTTCAGGCTTCTAAAGATTATATTTCTCAGCCTGTTAAATATTTGGAATAACTTAATATGAAGGATTTTCACAACAATGAAAAAGCCATCAACACACATTAAAATAAATGTAAAGGCTAAGCACATTATTTACATATGAAAGCATTATACTTAGTTAATTGATGTTAATTTCAGTATTTTTCCCTCTGTGCTAATTCTGTTTCTGTTTTGTTTCCTCCTATATTTTATTTTATCATGTTCAGCATCATGCTGCCATCGTACAAGAGCTGAACAAGCATGGAACTTGAATATTATCCTCCCAAATAAATGAATTTCTCAGCTTCCTGTGACCATCTATACATACTTCATCTTCAAAAAAAGCAATGTCCATGTTCTATCATCGCAGAGACAGTGCCCTTCTTTTCGGCAATATGCACGAGATGTTTGGACAGTACAACCGGGGCCCGTGCACTGCTTTCCATGAAGAAAAACGTTGCGGTTCTCTGGCATTCATCATTTGACAAATGCAAGCATTTTCTTAATCAGCCAGCTCTTCCTGGACGTAGCAACGGTGACTGCGGAATCCTTAAGGGCCTGTGACATTTTTGAAGAAGAAAGCTAAGATGAAGGACATGCCACTCCGAATCCATGTGCTACTTGGGCTCACTATCACTACACTAGTACAAGCTGTAGATAAAAAAGTGGATTGCCCGCAATTATGTACATGTGAAACCAGACCTTGGTTTACCCCCAGATCCGTTTATATGGAAGCGTCTACAGTGGACTGTAATGACTTAGGTCTTCTGAATTTCCCAGCCAGATTGCCTGCTGACACACAGATTCTGCTCCTACAGACGAACAACATCGCGAAAATGGAATATGCCATAGACTTTCCCATAAACCTTACTGGCCTGGACTTATCGCAAAACAATTTTTCCTCGGTCACCCATATCAACGTAAAAAAGCTGCCGCAGCTCCTTTCTGTGTACCTAGAGGAAAACCAACTTACCCAGCTGCCTGAAAAATGTCTGTCTGGACTGAGCAATTTACAAGAACTCTACGTTAATCACAACTTGCTTTCTACAATCTCACCTGGGGCCTTTATTGGCCTACATAATCTTCTCCGACTTCATCTCAATTCTAATAGATTGCAGGTGATCAACCGCAAGTGGTTTGACGCACTCCCAAACTTGGAGATTCTGATGATTGGGGAAAATCCAATCATCAGAATCAAAGATATGAACTTTAAGCCGCTTATCAATCTTCGCAGCCTGGTTATAGCTGGCATAAACCTCACAGAAATACCAGATAATGCCTTGGTCGGGCTTGAAAATTTAGAGAGCATCTCTTTTTATGACAACAGGCTTATTAAAGTGCCCCGTGTTGCTCTTCAGAAAGTTATAAATCTCAAATTTCTGGATCTCAATAAAAATCCTATTAATAGAATACGAAGGGGTGATTTCAGCAACATGCTACATTTGAAAGAGTTGGGGATAAATAACATGCCAGACCTGATTTCCATCGACAGTCTTGCCATAGATAACTTGCCCGATTTAAGAAAAATCGAAGCTACTAACAACCCCAGATTGTCTTACGTTCACCCAAATGCATTTTTCAGACTCCCCAAGCTGGAATCGCTTATGCTCAACAGCAATGCCCTTAGTGCCCTGTACCATGGTACCATTGAGTCTCTGCCCAACCTCAAGGAAATCAGCATCCACAGTAACCCCATCAGGTGTGACTGTGTCATACGCTGGATTAATATGAACAAAACCAATATTCGATTTATGGAGCCAGATTCACTGTTTTGTGTGGACCCGCCTGAATTCCAAGGTCAGAATGTTCGTCAAGTGCATTTCCGGGAAATGATGGAAATTTGCCTCCCTCTCATAGCTCCTGAAAGCTTTCCATCCAATATGGATCTAAAAGCTGGGAGCTATGTTTCCCTACACTGTAGAGCTACTGCAGAGCCCCAGCCTGAAATCTACTGGGTAACACCTTCTGGCCAAAAGCTCTTGCCTAATACTCTGTCGGAGAAGTTTTATGTCCATCCTGAGGGCACACTAGATATCAGTGGAATAACCACCAAAGAAGGGGGTTTATATACATGTATAGCAACTAACTTGGTGGGTGCTGACTTGAAGTCTGTCATGATCAAAGTGGATGGGTCTTTCCCCCAGGAGAAAAATGGATCTTTGCAAATTAAAATAAAAGATGTTCGGGCCAATTCTGTTCTTGTGTCTTGGAAAGCAAGTTCTAAAATTCTCAAATCCAGTGTTAAGTGGACAGCCTTTATCAAAACTGACAATTCTCAGGCTGCCCAAAGTGCTAGAATACCATCTGATGTCAAGGTCTATAACCTGACTCACCTGAAACCATCGACCGAGTACAACATTTGCATTGATGTCCCCACCATTTACCAGCAAAGCAGAAAACAATGTGTGAATGTCACCACCAAAGGCTTGGACCATAATGCACACAAATATGAAAAGAGCAGCCCCACGACACTTATTGCCTGCCTAGGTGGCCTTCTGGGGATTACTGGGGTGATATGTCTCGTCAGCTGCCTCGCTCAAGAAATTCACAGTGAGGGTGGACATGGCTATGTGAGGAGTTACTTACAGAAATCCACCTTTGCATTCGGCGAGCTTTATCCTCCTCTCATCAACCTTTGGGAAACGGGCAAAGAAAACAGTACAGCCTTGGAAGTAAAAGCAACTCTTATAGGTGTACCAACAAACATGTCCTAAAACAAACCAACTCAATCTACTTCCAGGGAAAGCTCGAGCCTGCAGTTGTTGTACGTAACAGGCAGAGAAATGTGAGTGGCTAGAAAGCAGTTTGTGCTTCACCAGTGCTGCTCCAGGTCAATGGGAATATGCCCAAGTTCAGCATTTTAATTAACTGACTTCAAAGGGTACCGTGGCAACCAAATAAAACAACTCCATTTTCTAGAGACTTTCATGTGACTCTCATGTCTGGAATACAGTTAAAGTGGACACACACACACACACACACACACACACACACACACAGACATTTCCGTATTTTTTTTAAGTATGTAAGAGTAGCTGAACTGAGCAATACCTCCTCCTGTGTTGTATTACACATATTAGCCACGAGTTTTTGCAGTGACGGGATAAACCTGAATTGACACATGGTGTAATAAAATGGACAAATTCAGTAGAGTAGACACAGTGAGTTATGTGGACCTCTTTTATAAAGAAAAATACATTTTGGATTAAATCAATTGTTTTTGTCTTGTTTTTGTTTCTAAATAAAGAACAATTTCTGGGAAATGGCATCTGATCAGATATTATTTAAATGGATTTTTAAAAATTTCCAAACAATATGTGCAGTGCTGAGAGCGAAACACTTTTACTGAGTTATGTAATGATCTGGTACCCCCGAAAAAAATGGTTTGGGAAAGCAAGCACCTCATCAAAGTTGATGGTTAATAATAACAATACTGTACTTAACTCTTTAGAGATAGAAACAAATCCTTTAGGAAACTATATTGACTTAAAGATTTTATTTTCTTAATAAGCAGATTTTGAAGTGAATTGCATTATTAAGTTTAGATCATGCAAATCCAATAACTGAGCAAGAGAAAGTCTTATTTTAATATTGAGTTTTTCAGGTTGAGGAATACCTGAGTTACAAAAACATTGTCAAGTATCTGTAGCAACTATAATCTAGGTGTAAGTTTCAAAGCTTTCAGAAATTCTAAACATTTAATAAGTTTCACTATAAGGATAAACAAGTAAGTTAATACTTTGTTATATTGTAAAGATAGCAAGGGAACATATCCCATTCCAGGACTGATTTTAGAATTTGTTTAAAATATCTATTGGATTAGCAGTACAAGTTTATCAGATTCAATTTCTGTGATGCTACCCCTTTATTTGGACCACCTCAATATAAGAATGATCTAATATGCTAATTCAAGAGTTCCCCGGAAATTAAAATGTCAGTTTTAGAAACTAAAGAAAAAGATTTCTGAAATGGTTCAATTCAGCATATTGGGATTAATTTAATGAAAGTGGGGGGAAAGTATACTGAAGTATAGATATCTATGACTGTACTGGGGGGCTTCAAAAATCCCATGGATTTTTTAAGCCTCCTCATATTCAAGGCAACTAAAAACTACAGCTTAAGACAACAGGAAACCATTAAACTGAAATGCATGATCACTATTATTTTTAAATCACATTTAAGAAACATTAGGATTACACTAATGGGGGAAAACAGGTTATTTTAGATATGTCATAGTTAAAAAAAACACCTGACATTATTGCAAATTAATGAACTGTATTATAAAGGCGACATCCTGAAGCAATAAAAAAACTAACATAATAAGTTATCATTTTTTAAGGGCAAATTGCTTTGTTCTACAAAGCTAAAAGGTTTCCATATTAGTTATTGTTGTGCCTGATTTTAATCAAATATTTACCTTTTACAGTAGCTTATTGCATACATGTTACTGCCTGTAAACATTCCTAACACATTTGTCTTATCAATTTACTTGCTAATGTTTGATATTTACCTTTTTAAAATAACAATGACAGTTTTTAATTAAACCCTAGATGTTTTTCACAATGTGGAAAATGATTGTTATGAACTCTTTAAAACAAGAGGACAAACTTAATACACCTAAAATATGTAACTTGGTAAATCAATGTGTTTCTTGAACACAAGTTTTACAACCTGATCAATCACTATTACAGTCTGACATTAGAATTTATCTGCAAGACACGTTCATACTTCATGAGAGGTTTCAGCACCACGGACAGAGATTCTCAGAGCAAGGTTATTTGTCAAAAACACAGGAGCTGAAATATTAGGATACAGATATTGTATAGGTCAGCAACAACTTTCTCAGGTGTCTTGTATGTTTCTCTTTAAAATCTATCTGCATGGCAGTAATCACAAATATATTTTAGACGTAAGATTCCATATCAAGCTACGTATGCCTTAGAAAAATGTGACATAAGTACTTTAACTAGACAGCTAAAAATAGAGCACCGAACGAAGTCTTCTTGTTAGTCAAATAAATAAAATGCCCAAAATAATCCTATTTATTTGCTTAATTTTTGACCTAACTTTCCAAAGAGAGAGAAAGAGAACACTTCTGCTTCAATATCAGAATAGCATTTCATACTCCCTGCTACCTCCTTAGCCTTACATAAAATTAACTATGTACTGGTCCAAGTACTTAAAACATTTAACATATGCCTATTAAAGCATAAACGTTAACCTATAACAAATATAAATTTAAAACTTATGCATCTGTGAATGCTACTGAACTACTCACCATATGGGGGAGGAAACATTTTAAATGACTTTTAACATAATTACAAAATTTCCAATTTATGCCATAAAATAAATGCATCCCAGAAATGTAAGCCAACTTATACCCCCAAAATAAAATTTTCTGAAAACTCACATTCTCAAGTTAAAAAATATATTTAAAACTTTATGGATCAGAATGCATAACTTTCTACAAAGCCAAGCAGCTCTTAATTATAATAAAATGACATAAGAAGAAATGAATCAATTTGTGACATATAAACCTGCTGATATTTATGTCAAGGCTGAAATTTTCCTTCTGATTAGATAAAGGAAAAATTCCAATAAAATAACTCCATAGCTATCATAAATATCAGGGAGGAATTCTAACTCTATAAGTAACTATTAGGAAACACCCTGAGGTTCACCCTGATATTGAGTTTCTAAGAAAATGAGTACTGAACAGTGATTTAAGTGTGGCTAGATCTATTTTTATAGTTTTTTTTTCATTTCCCAAGGTATTACAACAAACAAGTAAAATAGTTTGCAACAAATATGATTTCCAAGTGTTTTCTGTCTATATCCAAGATACCAAAGGGCAATTTGGGGAAGAAATGACACAGAAAAGACTGCATTTAGCTTATAATGAAGAAGGTGATAATCTTGCCTTTGGCTGAGAGTCCCTGTGTGTAGGCTATCATCGAACCCTGACGAGCCATCACTAGCTGGGCTGTTGTCTGGAAGCACTGCAGCTCTGGGGGCAAAGACAGTCATGCCTAAGACCACGTTGCAACCACTATCGGGCTGTTAGACAAAGAGAAATCGCTCCAGTCTCAAATGAGCATGGCTGTTTTAATGTGTTTATTAGAAAAGTGAGCATTTTATTTATGATCCTGGGATTTTAATATTTATTATTATGATTATTTATTGCCATGTTGCTTTATCTTATTCTTCTAAATTAAGGAAATAAAAACACTAGTTGAACACAAGAATAAAATGACAAAGTCAGAGGAAAAACTCATTACCATAGTCTAGACAGCCTATCCTAAAAGCAATTGTCAAAAGAAATGTTTTATGGAATAGTCTGCCAAAATATAGGATATTCTGAAACTGGTCTATGCATTTCATTAATGAGAAACTCAGAGGTGCTCCTGGTTTGACTAGTGACCCTTCAGTATGTGCAGGTGAGATGATTCTATGTGAAAGAGGAGACAGTTCTTTTTCATTTCTGCAAAAACCAAACAAGTGAACAAAGATTGGATTTATACCTCAGAGGGTTCTTAACGCATCTTCAAATAGGCCAATTCGTCTACTCCAATGAAGAGATTAAATATCTCACGGACAAATCAATAGAACTTTCTGTTAAAAGAAAACTGAATCTTTAAATAATGCATTCACATCATACATCATGTATGACTTCAAATTTAGTGTACTGTGGCCAAGAGTAACATAGCATAGCAAAGACAGTTGTGATTGACCTTAGCCAGCCTTTCTGAAGAATGAACTATAATGGCATTTGAAAACCTCACAGTACTTTCTGTGTTCGTATTTATCTTCTGTAACTACCATCTATCTTCAAATGGTACTATGTGACCACTGTAAGGAAAATCCAGCTTCTCATTAAAACACATGGGTCAGGATCTGAAGTCTTTGATTCAAAATCCAATTGTGATATCCGTTTGTCGTATTTACCAGCCTCTGGAACAAATAATGGAGAAAACTTAGGATATAAATTAACCCCGCTAATCCTTGCATTGAGAGAATCAGACTGTAATAAAACCACCTCACTGTTATTTGTGGTATCAGATTCGAGGCTGGTAAAGATAGAAATAGTTCTTGAGCCATCAAAAGTACCTTTGTTAAAACAGTATGACAAAACACACTGAAAGAATTCTTCAACAAAGTTCTATATGAGTACTGTATAAAATTGAAATTTATTACAACGGGGACTAAAGCCACATTTCTCTGTTAAATTATTAAAAGAAATAGTATAAATAATATTCCACCGAGATACAGAGTACTTTCAAAGCTAATCCAAGCATTTCATTAACAAGACACCCAGAGGTGCTCATGGTCTCATCAGGAACCATTGCATATTCTCAGGTGAGAATATTTTATGTGAAATCAGAGACGATTACTTTTCATTCCTGCTGAAATTAGACAAGTGAACAAAGATTTGATTTATCTGTTCAAGAAAAAATAAGACATCAGGTCACCAAAATACCATGAAGGGGGGTGAGGGGTAGAATGTTCAAGGTTTCTAGGTTTTCCTTTTGGGTTACCAGACACAGAATCAATAAATCATTCAATATCTCACTTTAGCATTAATTTTTTGTCTCATCGTGTTTTAAAAACAATTTATATAGGAAATACAAGAACTTTTAAAACATGCCCTTCTAACAACTTTATATGACCTTTGAGTGTAAAAAAATAAGTAAACAGAAGTGTTCCCATGGATACACTAAAGGATATAAACATAAAACATTCATTCCTTTCTACTAACAAACAAGAGCTTTATCCACACAAATAAATTGCTATTAATTGATGACATTGTAAAAATGAATTGCATCCAATATAGCCATGTTTAAAGGGAATTGGGATTTCTTCCAATGAATTCCATGTGTCACAATCCAGCCACAGTCCAGAGATGACAATGTGATGTTTGAAATATCTTCCTAGTACATAAAATGCACAGTAATCAATAACTTAATTACTAGTGCATTATTATTTCAAATAAATACTTCCCCATCTAAAGGAGAAGGGGAAGGAGGAAAATATGCACTTACAATCTTACCATTTGCTAGGAATACCACTAGATGCCCTCTTCCTAGCCTATACTCTTCCCTGTGTGCACGTGTATGTATACATATACTCCCAAATACACACATATGCCTATATAAATACAAACTTATCATGCAATCTTCATGAAATATCAGACAATCATGTTAAGATTCCATTTTT